TTTCAATTTGTGGAAAGAATTGATAAACTTTCACAGAAGTCATCTGAAAAAAACACAAATACAAGGGTTGGGATGAAAATTGATTTTGTTAAAACTATTTTTTGAATAAAAACAACAAAAACTAAAGTTGGCAGAAATTAATATAATGAAAAATATGCGAATTAATGTTAATAAATAAATATTGTAAAATTAATTTTTTATTCATCAGTAACACAGCCTTCAGTAGCTGATTTAACATTTTTGATGTATTTGTATAAAGTTCCTTTAGTAAATTTGTAAGGAGGGGTTTTCCATGTTCTACGTCTCTCTTCAAGCTCATTATCACTAACATCAACATCAATAGATTTATTCTCTGCATTTATAACAATTTCATCACCATCTTTCACTAATGCTATTGGACCACCCAATTGTGCTTCAGGTGTAATATGCCCTATTATAAATCCCTATATTCATAAATTTTAAATATTAAGTATGGATAAATAGATAGATATCGTATTTTTTCCTAATTGTACTTACATGGCAGCCGCCTGAAAATCTTCCATCTGTTAATAATGCAACATTGTTACCAAGTCCTGCACCCATAATAGCACTAGTTGAAGTCACTACATAACAAATTTAATTTTTGCAATAATAATAAAATTAATACATATAACGCACACATATATATAAAAAGTGAATTCATATAACTCGATTCCGCTTACACATTTCAGGCATTCCAGGACCTCCTTTAGGGCCTTCATACCTTATAATTATGACATGACCTTTCTTAATTTTATTTTTTCCCAATACTTTTAACATATCTTCTTCACCATCAAAAACTTTTGCTTTGCCATTAAATGCCAAACCTTCTTTACCAGTAATTTTGCCACAGAACCTTCAGGTGCCAAATTACTTTTAAGAATATGTATATGACCCGTTGATTTGATTGGTTTAACCAGCAGATTTATTATATTTTGATTGTCAAATGAAAGTGGTGCAATTGATGATAAGTTTTCTGCTAAAGTTTTTCCAGTCACTGTTAACACATCTCCGTGAATTTTATTATTATCTAAAAGGTATTTTAAAACAGCTAAAAAAGCAAAACCAAAATTATAACTATAATTATAATTGTGCTTTACTCATATCCTCT